CGAGTTGGACGCGGCGCGCGGCGACGCGGTGTGCACGGGCTGCGGCTCGGTGCTGGAGGACAACATCATCGTGTCCGAGGTGCAGTTCGTGGAGAACAGCGGCGGCGGCTCGTCGGCCGTGGGCCAGTTCGTGTCGCTCGACGGTGGGTCGCTGCGGGGGCGGGCATTCCCTCCCCGGGTCGGACTCGCGCGTCGCCCTGGGCAGGTGTGAGTCGCTCTCTCGGCCCAAGTTGGTGCTGGCCGGAGTTCGGGTTTTGATGCCCAGCAGTTGGCATTTTGTCGCTAGATCAGTCTTGGTGTCACGTCTTAAATGTTTTTGTCTGACCCTAAGTGCCGCGTTTATCTTCAAAAGTTTTTTTTTCTTTTACATGTTTTGCATTTGCTTTTATTTTGTTCTTATTTTTCCGGCGCCGGAGACCTGGCCAGGGCTTGAGGCAAGTCCCTCTGCCGACTTCGGTCCCCGGGCGGCCGGGCTGGGCGGGGGCGTGGCTCTGGGCGGGGAGCTCTGCGGGAGGCGTCCCCTGCGCCGCCCAACCGCCCGCTCTGGCTGCGCCCGCCGCCCTGGCTCCTTTGGCACGGATCACTGGGTCCCTTCTGGTGGGTCTTTTTCTGGGTTCTGTCTGTGCCATTTCCATTGTCGCCAGCACAATGTTTCGTTTGTCGTATGTTTGTTTATTATTATTATTATTTTTGCAATATTGAGGATTAAACTCGGGTGCTGGGGATTGAGCTCAGGGCATTAGCCTCGTTTATTGTACGTTTTACGTGGTCTTGAAATTATTTATTGTGTGTCCTCTAACTTTGTTCTTCTTTTTCAAAATTGTTCCTTTTGTAGTCCTTTTCCGCTTTCCTTTGTTTTTACACTAGGTTTGTATATATGTACGAAATTCCTGCTTGAGTTTTTAATGGAATTGCATAAAAATTTTTCGATAAATGTAGAAGGATTTGACATTTTTAATGTGTTGAGTCTTCCAGTCCACGAACACAACATGTCTCTCCCTTCATTTAGGTTCTTTTTGGAATCTTCCATCAGAGTTTCCTTATTTCATAGCTTCTCTATATTTATTACAGATATTCCTAAAATCTATTTGGAGCTGTTGTGAATGGAATTTCTTTTAGTTTGCATTAATTCATTGATAGTAGTGTGAAATACAGTTAAGATAGTGTTTAGAAAGGTGGTCGATTTACCTTTTTTTTCTTTCTTTCTCTCTTTCCTCCTCCTCCTCCTCCTGGGGATCAAATCCAGGGCCTCTTGCATTCTAGGAAAGAGCTCTACCACTGAGTGACACCCCCAGGCCAATACAGTAACATAATTGATTTCTGTGTGTTGGCCTATTCGTGTAACCTTGCTAAGCATACTTGTTCTGGGTTTCTTATGCACTGCGATTTTCTGATAAGTAATTATGTTGTCTATAAATATAGACTTATGTTTCTTCCTTTTGTTTCTCTTGTTTTGCCCTACAAGAGAAATTTTTGCCTTGTTTTGATCTTAGAGGGAAGCATTCAGTTATTCAGTTCTTTCTGTTCAGTGGGATGCTAGCTGTAGGGTTTTTTGTTTTGTTTTGTTTTGTTTTTTTGTACTGGCGATTGAACTCAGGGGCACTTGACCACTGGGCCACATCCCCAGCCCTTTTTTTGTATTTTTATTTAGAGACAGGGTTTCACTGAGTTTCTTAGCACCTTGCTTTTTGCTGAGGGTGGCTTTAAACTCATGATCCTCCTGCCTCAGCCTGTGGAGCCACTGGGATTACAGTGTGCTTCACTGTACCTGGCTAGGTATAGGTTTTTAGATACTTGTACTTCATCAGTAAAGTTGAAATTCCCTTTCTACTCCTAGTTTGCTGAGTTTTTTTTTTTTTTAATGAGTAGATGCTGAATTTTGTCAGATGCTTTTTCTGCATCAGCTGATACTGTCGAATGTTTTTCTTTAGTCTGTCATTGTGACTTTTAAAAAAAATTTTAAATTTTATTTATTATTAATTTTGGTAGTAGGAATTGAACCCAGGGTCACTTACCCACTAAATCATATCCCCAGCTGTCCTCCCCCTTTATTTTTTATTGAGATAGGATCTCACTAAGTGACTTAGGACCTCGCTAAGTTGGTGAGGCTAGCTTTGAACTTGTCCTCCTCCTCCAGCCTCCAGAGGCCTCCCAGGCCTCTGGGATTATAGACATGTGCTACCATGTTCAGGCCTGTGATTTATTTATTTATTTTTGCTGTGCTGAGACTGGAACCCAGGGCCTTGTGGATGATTTAAGTTAGTGCTCTGTCACTGAGCTAGACCCTCAGCTCTTGACTTTTGAATATTGAACCTGACTTGAGTTCCTGGGGTAAGTTCACTTGTTATGGGATATTATTCTTTAAATGTGTTTCTGGGTTAAGTTTGCTAATATTTTGTTGAGGACTTTTGTCTATGTTCATGCAGGTTATTGGCCTGTGCTTTCTTTAATGTCCTTATCTACTTTCTGTGTCAACGTGCTGTGCCTCATGGAATGAATGGGAGATGATCCCTCCTCTTTTATTTTCTGAAAGAGATTGTATAGATCTGATTTTCATTTTCTTCTTAAGAGTTTGGTAGAATCCATCAGTGTAGCCATCTGGGCCTGGAGGTCTCATCTTCAGAAGTTCACAGTTATAAATTCAGCTTATTTTTTTTTTTACTTTTTTTTAAATATCTTTATTTATTTTTATGTGGTGCTGAGGATCGAACCCAGTACCTCATATGTGTGAGGCGGATGCTCTACCACTGAGCCACAGCCACAGCCCCTTTTTTTTACTTTTTAAAAATTTGTTTTAATTAGTTACACATGACAGTACAATGATCTTTTTTAAATTTTTTTTTTAGTTGTACATGAACACAATACTTTAATTTTTTAATTTATTTTTATGTGGTGCTGAGGTTTGAACCCAGGGCCTCACAGGTGCTAGATGAGCACTCTACCCCCGAACCACGACCCCAGCCCAGTACAATGATCTTGACATATCATACATTTGAATCAGATGGGAAATTCAGTTTCTTTGGCAGTGGAGTTTATTGTTAGGTTTTAGATCGTTTTACCTTGGGCTGGTTTTGGTCATCTGTTCTTGACAATTTGGGCCAGTTGGTCTAGTTGTTGAACTTATGTGCCTAGAGTTATTGGTGGCACTCCTGTGTCCTTTGACACCTGCAGGGCCTGTAGTGGCATCCTCCTTCCTTACCAGTGATGAGGTCTGTCCTCTCTCTCTCCTTGTCTTGCCAGAAGTTTATCAGTGTGGTTGGTCTTTCCAGTTGGCTTTGGGTTTGCGTTTTTCCTCCAGCTCTTCCTTTCCTGTGGTCTGTTTCACTCATCACACAAGCCTTTGTTCTTTGTGGGTGACTTCCCAAGGGAGTCTTCCAGACTCCTGGAACAGTGGCTCTGTGGCATATTGTCTGCAGCCTTGTCACAGTTGCCAGGACATTGATGCCTGCTGGGGTGATAACAACAGTAATAAAACAAATCATGGCTGTGGCAGACACATAGGGCTTTCTGTGGGAAGGCACTGTGGTGGGGGGTCCCATGGCCTAGTAAGAACTGTTGTCCTCAGTACGTCCCTAGGGTATAAGAGAACATGGTGTGGAGCAGGTTTGGGGTGAGCTCTCACTCATGCATACTGGGAAGTCTGTCATAGGAGCCTTGAACAGATGATCAGACAGGTTCTTAGGAGGCACTAAAATACTTCTCCAAGGAGAGGTAGCCCCAGCAACCAACAGTTGAAGCTCTTGGGAAGGTGCTTGGGGCTGTGATTCTTAGCCCCAGGGAGAGGAGGGTGGTGCAGGTTGGGTCCAAGTAGGAGAGCATTGGCTTCTCAGGGCATTCATTTCATTTCCCAGGTACCCACCTGGCATCCCTCTTCCCCCTCAGCATGATTACACAATCACCGAAACTGGAGACTTGTCAGTTTCCAGCACTTGAGTAGGACCCCAGAGCCCCTTGCCCAGCTTACCCTTCCTCTAGCCTCATCCTGAAAGCCAAGATTTCCCATGAATGGCTGTTTTCTAGGTCTAAAGCCACTGTCTTGCCTAAGTGTAAGAACTTATTGAGAATGAAGCTGGACACTTAGCTTAGAGGTTACTCTGGAATGTGTAAGATGTCAGGGTAGTGTGGCAGGACTTATAGCAGGAGCGCCTGCTCGGAAACCACAGTCTGTGCAGAGGGAAGGGAAGACTGTCAGAACTGCTGGCCCAGAGTGGCCAAACAAAAGGCTGTGGGCAGGCCTGGAGAAGGCTGTGCCATTCCATGAGGGTCTGTGCTCACTCCCATATGTGAGGATTATGGGGGCAAAATAGGACTTCCTGGAAGCACACACCCCAGAGTCCTGTGCTGTGCATCTCTGAGCCTGCTTCTGTCACTGGGTGGTGGCACACACATTCCTGCTTCTATCATTCCTTAGGATGCTGATGCACAGGGAGCACCTACCCCTTCTGCTGGGAGCAGCAAACCTTCTGTGTCACCAGAACATATGTGGGTGGGTTGGGAGCATCTCTGATTTCCATAATCAGAATTTTTTTTTCCCTTTTTTGCGGTGCTGGGGATGGAACCCAGGGCCTCACACATGCTAGGCAAGTGCTCTACCAAGCCCTATAATTAGAACTTTCTTTCTTTTCTTTAAGTTGTTGATAGAACTTTATTTTTATTTTTATGTGGTGCTGAGAATCAAACACAGTGCCTCACACATGCTAGGCAAGTGCTCTACCACAGAGCTACAGCCCCAGCCACTATAATTAGAACTTTCAATGGTTGTACACTTGTCCTTTATATCAAGGTGTCTGTAAGTGTTGGTGCTGCTTCCCTAGACTCTTTTGTGACAGATGCCCCATTGTTCGAATTGGGAAAGGCTTACTGTCTGTCCCAGCCATGGTGAGGGCCTGGCAGGTGGAGCCACTCTTGCCTGTCCCTGTGGAATGTTGTGGCCTTCCAGCCCTCCATGCGTCACTGTGGTGGGAGCCGAATGTGGGCCTGGCAGGCTGGCAAGGTTTTGTCCCCAGGTTGAAAGACTTGGAGTCTCTTTGTATTCTGTGGCCCTTGAGAGTCCTGCCATGTCCTGGCTGAAGGTATCTGTTCTCGGGAAATGCTGACCGGATTCCATCCTGGAGGTACCTGGGTGAGGGAAGACTGGTCCATTTTTTTGGCTTCCCTGGTCAGGTTGTGATCACCACTGATGAGCATTTAGAGAATGGCCTGCTGAAGAGCTGGCTGATGCCATGTTCAGCTGTTCACCTGCAGTGTTGAGAGGGATAGAGGGAGGGATAGAGGAGGTGCTGTGTGGGGGCCTTTTGGGGCACCCTTGGCTTCCTTTCTCGCTCTGGTCCAGGATGTGGGTGTGGCTTTGTCTGCACCTCAGAGCCGGCCAGTGTCTTCCTGGGGAGCAGCCCTTAGCACTTTTTGCTCCCTAAAGGGCTCTTTGAGTGGACTGGAGTTCCAGGTCGCTCCCCCACTGTCCACCAGGGGGCGTTCTCACCCAGGCCTGGCTATGTGGTACTTCCTGCCTGAATCTTTTGTTATAAAACTTGTAGAAATACCAAAAGGTTTAGAAGCAGAGTGTATTTGAAGGACAGGCATTCGTGGTTGGCAATTTTGGCCAGAGGTCATACTTGGATTCTCTAAAAGATGAAAGAAGAAAGCCCAAGTGTGACCCTTAACATGCTGAGATTTGCTGAATAATAGTGCTTTTTATACCAGCCATGTATGATTCCAACTGTGCGTGTGTTCGTATGTCATGTGTGAGTGCTTGGGGGGTAAAGCACAGTCAAGAGGCAGCTCCCAGAGCCCTTGTGGCCTGCGCCGCCTGGGCCGGGTGGCTGGGGTATTGGGGAGAGACAGGGCATGGGGGCATGAAGGGTAAAGGAGGGGGAGTGGAGGGCAAGGTAGGCATGGCTGATGGAGGTGGCAGCGACTTGGCAGCTTTGCAAGTGTGCTTTGGGTAGCACTGGAGTGAGAAGATTGAGGAGCAAGGAGATTACATTACACTCTGAGCCAAAGCCGAAGTCACCTTCTTACTGAACGCGGCATCTCTCCATGGTCCTGTTCTGTAAGGAGACCCCTGGCTGCCCCAAGTCTGAGTAGAGATAGGTGGCCAGAATGGAGGCCACCAATCCCTGTCCCTGGAAGGTGGGCTTCAGGGGTTTGAGCTTTGACCAGTGTCCTTTTCTTTTTCTTTTCCCTTCCTTTCCCTTCCCTTCCCTTCTTCCCTCTCCCTCCCTCCCTCCCTTCCCTTCCTTTCTTTTCTTCCCTTTTCTGACCTCACCTTTTGCCCTCCCCTCCCTGCCCCCTGCCCCTTCCCCCTTCCTTTCCTTTCTTACTCCCTTTCTCTCTCTTTCTTTCTTATGTTAAGCTTGAATCCAAGGATGTTCTACCACTGAACCACACCCCCAGCCTTTTTTATTTTTTGAGATAGGGTCTCACTGAGTTGCTGAGGCTGACCTGGAACTTGTAGTACTCCTGCCTTGGCCTCCTTGGTAGCTGGGATTACAGGTTGCATCACCACACCTGATGATCAGCATCTTTTCTTAATGCAGTATTACTTGATTTTTATTAAAAGCACATGTCCATTTAAATTAGAGCATCAGGGACTCTTTTTTAAAAAAATTTTTTGGTACTGGGGATTGAATTCAAGGGCACTCAGCCTTATTTTGTATTTTATTTAGAGACCGGGTCTTACTGAGTTGCTTAGCACCTTGCTTTTTGCTGAGGCTGGCATTGAACTCACAATCCTCCTGCCTCAGCCTACTGAGCTGCTGGGATCACAGGCATGCGTCACCGTGGCCAGCCTTTTTTCCTTTATTCTTAAAAAATAAAGGTTGGAAGGTGTGTGTGCTGGAAGCAGGTGAGCTGAGGTGTGCTGTCCTGGTCTACATATGGAACTACAGACGGTCATGGGTCTCCTTTCTCTCAAAGATTTCAAGTGTAAAAATTCTAGAGTTTAAAAAAAACACATCATCACAAAACAAAGGTAATGAATGCAGATAGTGAGACCTGTGTTGGATTTCTACAGACCCAGAGTTGAGACAATGGTGTTTGAAGCCTCCCTTGCTCCTGGTGCACAAAGTTGTGCAGCCAGATGGGCTGCCCTCTGGCTGCCTCTCCCAGGGTCTCCCTGTGTCCCTGTGTCAACAGCTCGCTAGCCCACTCAGTCTGCTTCTTGTGGGGTTTGTAGTGACTCGCTTGGGCAGGACAGCAGATAGAATGTTTCTGGGCTGCCACTTGTCCAGGAGCCTTGCTCTGTTGCAGAGGGTTGCTTGTGGCTGTCCTTCATTCTCCTGGCCTGGGATTGTGTTGAAGCCCAGGAGGTAGTAGGGCCAACCCTGGCCCCTGCTGGTGGCTGGAAATTTGCATGGCCTGGGGCTGCTTTTTGGGTTTTCTTGCCTCCTCTGATTCTGGCTGGATTCCAGCTAACCTGAGAGTCAGCTGCTGATCTTTATCAGCATGTCACTGACAAGCAGGAGACTGAGCTTGTGCTCTGCTACTCTGTGGCTGGCACTGGGTCCCTGTGGTGCAGCTGGCCACCCCGTGCTTCTTGCAGAGGGCCTGTCCCAGGCTTGGGTGATGCACTTCCCTATCACTTCTGCATTTCCATTTCTTTTCACCTGTGTTCCCCGTTTGGTTGTCTTGTGTAGGTGTCCTTAATTGTAGAAGCCTCAAGTCCCTGTGACTGTGCTTTGTCGTAAGTGTACTGAGGCTTACTCCTGTGGGACAAGAGGCAAGTTCTGCCATCCCTGCCTGTGCTCATACTACCTGGCTTCTTTACTTCAGCATAAAACATATGAAGATCCAGCTTCCAGTGGGATGGTGGTCTGGTGAACCATCCATATGTACACACAATGTTTTCAAAGGGTATTATAGTCTGAGTCCCTGTCCCGAAGCCCTGCAGAGATGTCCTGGGCTTACTCTCAGTTGGCTGTGACCACACTGAGCACTGGTGCTTTCCTAGGCAGCTGTTCTCTGTGGGAGGGTGGCATACAAGTGGGTAAAGGCTCAGCAGCTCTGGGGCCACTTAGGATGTGATCCCTGGGCTCCAGGAGCCTGCACTCCAGTGGTGTAGCCTCTGAGATGCCTGGCCTGGGCATGGTTGAGGGCTCTGGGAGGGACATGGAGGCTCAGCCTCTACTGTGTAGGCACCCAAGGCTGGAGGGGGACAAAAGTTCACTGGGACCCATATTGTGTTAGGAACAGGCTCGGAATATGCAAACAGGTGTGGTCTGCCCTCAGGGCTTTGGGGTCAAGCTATACCACTGGGCTAGTGGAACAGAGGGGCCTCTCTGCTTGGCATGTGTCCCTTCCCTGCACAAAGATTGGACCATGCTTTGTTCTGCATGCAGTGAAGGGGCGTGGGTCTTCACCATCAGGCTCTGGCTAACTGGTTTCTTCTGTGTTTCCAGGTGCTGGCAAGAACCCAACCCTGGGCGGTGGCTTCCATGTGAACCTGGGGAAGGAGTCAAGAGCACAGACCCTACAGAATGGTATTGCCATTATGGATGTTGCTGACAGTGGTGTGGGCCAGCAGGCGGAGCTGCAGTGCTGGGATGGAGATGGGAGCAGAGTGGCTGGCTGCTGCTTCAGGTCCTGTGGTGCCACCACCCTCCACCTGTGGCCTGCCATGGCCTGTCACCCTCCAAGCCCAGGGATGCTTGCACTTCTGGGAGGAACTGCTCCTTGAGTCCCCTCCCCTGTCATCAGAGCCTGCATGGGCATCCTGTAGGCCCTGTCAAGGCTGCTCAGAAAGAAGTGCCTGGACCCTGTTGCGCCCACAGCTCTTTGTTCCTGGTCTTAGTCGAGTATAGAAGCAGCAAGTCTATAGTAATTTGCCATGACAGTAATATTTTCATTAGGTTTTATAGCAGTGCCAGTCTTTAACAAACTGTAGAATTGCTTTTCCAGTCCTTGGCCAGTTGCTACAGGAGTAGGAGTGCTTGGGAATATTATTCCCAGCAGAAACGCATCTTAGCTTCCCGTTGTGCCATTTGCTCTGACCTTATGGACTTACTAATAGACTAGTGTAGTGAACTCTTTTCTTCTGATTTCCGGTTTGATTATTCTCTAGCAGATATGAGGTTCTGTAGGATTTCAGCCTTTGAACAAATGCCTCTAGGCTTATGCCATGGCCCAGCTAATGGTCAGCTTGGATCTTTTTCCTGCAGGAGGATGGAGCAGGGCTGTGGGCTTACCCCTGTGGACTTTGGTTCTGTTTGTTCTGCTAACAGTGAGAGGGCAGGAAAGCCTCCCACCCGCCTCTGGCTATGCCTCCTACACATGGATTTGTGCATTTTTGCCTGCTTTAGCACTCCTGATCGGAGCACACACATGGGATCCTCACTGCTTGTAGCACTCGTGGTCTTCTCACCCACCCAGGTGTGGCCCACCCGTGCTTCTGGTCCTTGCCCAGATTATCTCCATTTTTGCTGCCAGTGATTCTACGTTTGTTCCCAGTAGTGCATGTTTATTTCCAGAGCCTACTCTGTTGATTAGAGCAGTACACCCAGCTGAGGGCAGAGTGCCTTTTGCGCAGACACATTCATCACCGTAAAATCAGAAACTAAACAGAAAGATAACCCATCTGACTTCTAAACACTCCTTCAAACACCCTAGCCTTGCTTTAAGTAGGAAATCTATACAGTGTGCAAACTCCCAAGGCATGGCAGTCATGGAGGCAGCCCATTCCTCACATGGGAGTCCTGCACCCTATGCAAGTTACCATTTAGTTCTCAGCTTCCAAGAGCCTTCAGCTGTCGCCCTCTATAGACCACTCTCCTGGGGCTTTCCCCTGAGGTCCGGGGTGGCTGCCTGCTGCAGGGCCACGTCTCCCTCCCACTCTGTGTGTGGACTTCACCACCACCTACCTGCTCAGGTGTTCCTGCCTCCACCTTGCTTTTCCCACTGGGCCCTGGTGTGAATGGCCTACTGTCAGCCTCTGCCCCACTGCAGGGACCTTTTGCCTGTTCTTGTGAGTTCATGTCAACTTTATCTCTTTCCTTCATCTGGTATAGCTTGGGTGGGTGTCTAATGGGGCAGGTTTCAAGCATTCTTTCCAGAACCCCCTGGAAATGCAAGGGCACCTGGCTCCCTTTGGTGGCTGCATTTCCAAAGCATTGGGGTTCTGCTGCTTCTCAGTTCTTTCTTTCTTTCTTTTCTGGTGCTGGAGTTTGAACCCAGGGGTGCTTAACCACTGACTCACGTCCCCACCATTTTTTTTTATTTAGGGACAAGGTCTTGCTAAGTTGCTTAGGGCCTCACTAAGTTACTGAGGCTGGCTTTGAACTTGTGTCCTCCTGCCTTAGCCTCCCAAGCCACTGGGATTACAGGCGTATACAACTTCTTTGTGATTATCTTCCTTTGTAAAATGCTTCACCAACTTTTTCTGGTTTGTCCATGGTTTGTCTTTTTATTTTGCTTATTCTGTGCTTCTCACCTCCTCCCACCCTGTGTACATTGGAAGTTGTACATTGTAGGACAGTTCTCAGAAAGGCTACCCTAATTTTTTAGCAGAGGCACCCTTCTTTCAGCAAGGGTCATCCCTTGTTGGAGCATAGCTCATGATGCAGCCATTTATCACCCCTGACTTCAGCCTGGTGGGTTTGTTTGAAATCTGTGAATTTGGCTTTAGAATATTGCTGTTTTTGTTAAGTCTTGATTGCCTTTCCTAAAAAACAGTAAATATGGACCTAAATGAATGGCTTCTCCTGCCACCGAAGGGCTGCCGTGTCTACCTTACTTCCCTCCTGCACTGTGCCCTCCCTCGGGCTCCACTTTGAGTTTGTTGGGTACATGCCATGTGATGCTGGGGAAGGGTTCTGGAGAAGAGAATCTCTTGACTCCCTATTTGTATGTGGGTTTTCTTCCCACTGGGATGGCTGTTAGAGTAGTTTCAGGCTCACAGAAAACTTGAGCAGAAAGTACAGAGATGGTCCCTGTACCCTGCCCCATATGCACAGCTCCCCACCCTGGCCTTGCCCCTGCCACAGGAGTGCACCTGTTACCATAGATGATTTGCATTGGGGTCACTCTTCTGTGGACATGCTGTGGGCTTGGACAAGTGTGCGTGGCTCGTATCCACCATTGTCCTGTCCAAGGGGAGCTACCCAGTTGGAAATTGCTCTGTTACCCTGTTGGTGCTCCTGGCCACCAAGGTTCTTTGTGCTGTCTCCAGTTTTACCTTTTGCAGAAGGGCACAGAGTTGGACTCACCCAGCATGCAGCCTTGTCAGACTGTATTCTTTCACTCAGTGATGTGCATAAGATTTCCTCCTAGTCCTCTCTGTAGACCAGCTTGATAGCTGGTCTGTGTCTCATTGTTTGGATGGACCTCAGTTTTTCTTCTTTGGTGCTGGGGCTCAAACCTGAGCTTGTGAGCATGCTAAGCATGCACTCTACTGCTGAGCTACCCCCACACCATTCATTCATCCATCACCTGCTGAGGACCTCTGGGTTGCTTCCAAGTTATAGTGAATAAAGTTGCTGTAAACATTTGTGTGCAGGTGGCACACAGAGTACAATTGCTGTGTCACAGGGAAAGAGCAGGTTTGATTCTGAGTGAAGCTGCCCGTGGTTGCATTCCTGCCAGCAGCGAGGGAGGGTTTCTAGGGCTCTGCACCTTAGCAGTACTCGCTGTAGTAGGGGTCTGGGTTTTGGCCATGCAAGAACATACTTTTTTAAAGTATATAAGTAGTTTTTTTTTTTTATTATTGCTATATAGCATTTTAGATGTGACTGTGCCATAGTTGGCCTTGTTTTCCTTATGAGGGACATGCAGCTTCCTGGTTTGGCTGTTCCTGTCACATTGTTGTCACATTCCTATGCACAGTCCTTTGGTGGATGTAGGACTGGCTTCTCTCAGGAACACACCTGTGAATGAGGTTTTGGTCCTGGTGCAGGTGTGTGCTTATCTTTATTGGGCAGGGCCAGGCCACTTTTCCACAGCATCTGGGAGCCTTGCCCTGGCACAGCAGGTGGGGTGTGGGAGTGCAGGATTGGGGGGACTCTCTGAGTCCAGCTGACTACCTTTGCTTATGCTTTCTGGCCCTCTAGACATCCTCTGAGTGTGAAGTACCCGTTAATGTTTTTGCACATTTTTTAAAAATTGGGTTGTCATTGTCTTGCTGATTTGTAGAAGTCCTTTATTCTGAGCTCAAGTCCTCTATTGGATGTGCATATTTTGAATCTTCTATCTATAGTTTCTTTATTCATTCTTTAGGTTATTTATTATTATTATTATTATTACTACTACTACTTTAGTTATAGATGGACACAATATCTTTATTTATTTATTTATTTTGTATGGTGCTGAGGGTTGAACTCAGTGCCTCACATGTGCTAGGAGAGCACTCTACCACTGAGCCACAATCTTAGCCCCTACCTTGTTATCTTTTGATGAACAAAAAATTTTATTATTTATTTATTTATTTTTTTAAATTTTTGTTTTTTAGTTTTCAGCAGACACAACATTTTTGTTTGTATGTGGTGCTGAGGATCGAACCCGGGCCGCACACATGCCAGGCGAGCGCACTACTGCTTGAGCCACATCCCCAGCCCCATGAACAAAAAATTTAAAAAAAATTTTTTTAAATAAAATTTTAAATTTTAATGAAGTTTGAGTTTGTTTTTTTATGGTTAGGGCTTTTGGTGACTTGTTAGAAATTCTTACCTGCCCTAGGTGTGAATTTACTCTCCTGTTTTCATCTGGAAGCTTCACTGTTTTAGATTTTGAGCTGGAGAGTGGTTCAATGGTCACGTGCTTACCCAGCATGTGCGAGGGTCTGAGTTCAATCCCCAGTACCACACATACGAAGTTTATTGTTTTAAATTTGATGTTTAGGTTTCTGAAAAGCCTGAAAGTAGTCTTTTATGTATGGTGAAGCTGGGGCTGAAGTTCACATTCCAGTTATGAAGATGCAGTTTTTCCAGCACCCTATATCAGAATATCTGTCTCCTCCGAGCCACTGTCTTGGCTGTGTGTGGGAGTCTGTGCAGACTCTGGTGACGTCACTGTGTCTTCTGACTGTCAGTCTCACAGGCCTCTGCTGTGTCCTCAGATTCCTGTGCTTTAGCTCCTTCTGTTGTTCTTTGCTTGTTGTTTTGGCTATTTCTGCTAATTTGCATTTTTTCTTTCTTTTTTTTTAAAGGGAATTTTTTTTTATATCTTTATTTTGTTTATTTATTTTTATGTGGTGCTGAGAATGAACCCAAGGCCTCGCACATGATAGGCGAGCGCTCTACCGCTGAGTCACAGCCCCAGCCCTAATTTGCATTTCTACATAAATTTTAGAATCAGCTGGTTGATTTCCAAAAGAAAACCTGTCCAAATTTTGCCTGGGATTACATTGAATCTGTAAGTCAAATAGTAAAGAATGACTACATTGACCCCTTGACCCCTTAGCGTGTTCTACCTTAACAAGAACAAGGTCTGGGAGTGTACATTGTTGTCTCTTCCTTTCCACCTTTCCTCTTTTTTACTCTCAATGCATTATTATACCTTTTATTACTGTTCTGGACTCTGTAGGATAGTGTTGAGTAGAAGTGTTCATTCATGACCTTATTGTGAAATGTTCAATATCTTGTTATTAGGAATGGTGTTGCTTTGCCTTGTTCTTCTTTGTACCTATGGAGATGGCTATGTTATTTTTTGTTTATTTTGCTGATGTGGTGAATTCCATTGATTTGTGGCTGTTGAAGTCACCTGGGTTTCTGGAGTAAGTAGCCCCTGGGCCGTGGCACGTTTTGTGCTTGGTGTGGTGCTGCAGTGGGGCCATGTGCATGGAGGCTGCTGCACTGCCCAGCCACACACCCCGCTGCGCTGTCAGTGTGCACTGCTGGGGTTGAATTCCCATGGTCTGTTCAGGGCTCTGGGGGCCAAGGCCATGGAAGACACTGCCTTTCATTATCTGTTCTAATTAGTTACACGTGACAGCAGAGTGCATTTTGACTCACTGTGCACAAATGGAGCACAGCTTCTCATTTCTCTGGTTGTACACAACGTGGAGTGACACCAATAGAGCAGTCATACACGTACCTAGGGTGATGATATCTGTCTCAGTCCACCATCTTTCCTATCCCCATGCCCCTTCCCTCGCCTCTCTCCACCCAATCCAAAGTTCCCCCATTCTTCTCATTCCCCGCTTCTTTCTATTTTCTGCCAGAGCTGGTATGAGCCTGGGGCCCCCCTTGATCTGTGGCTGCTCTCTGTCTGTTTCCTCCTGGTCTGAGCACACTGGGAGTCATAGTCAGGCATGTGTGGAAGGTTGCTCTGTTTGGGTTTGATGCTTTCCCAGGGCTGGGGATTTGTGGGGTGCCTTTCTCTGCTCACATCAGGATGTCTGATGCCAGTGTCACTTCTCTCCAGTGACAATGGTTTTGGCACCTGCTTAGGTGATCACCAGTGCCCTCCATCCTCTGTCCTCCAAAGGATGTTGTGTAGTGCTGAACTAGCGCTGGGAGGGTTGAGCTCGCTCCAGAGTTGTGTTCGCCTGGCACTTGTAGGCATGGGGCAGGAGCTGCATGAGGCTGGATGGTGCCTGCCTCTCCTCCTCCTACCAGGGTTCTGTTGGGAGGTATCTCTTCCCTGTTCTGTCAGTTTTTACATTGTCTGTTTTGTAGCAGCATCTAGCTCCTCCCTGAGAAGACCCCTGCTCCAGCTCCCAGTTCACTTTTCTGCCTTTGCCTGCGCCATTCTGCTGATCTGTTATTTTTTGGTTAAAAATGTCTTGGGGCTGGGGCTGGGGCTCAGCATAGAGCGTTCGCCTGGCACGTGTGAGGCACTGGGTTCAATCCTCAGCACCACATACAAAAAAAAAACCAAAAAACAAAGATGTTGTGTCCGCCGAAAACTAAAAAATAAATATTAAAAATTCTCTCTCTCTCTTAAATAAAAAAAGATATTGTGTCCACCTAAAACTAAAAAATAAATATTTAACAAAAAAGATAGTTATTGTGTCCAACTACAACTAAAAAAATATTTTTACAAAACAACAAAAAATGTCTTAATTATCATATTTTAAATTTTCTAGTACTGGGTCTTTGGTTTTGGTTTGGGGCTAGGGACCGAGTCCAGGGCTTCACGTGTGCTGGGAAAGCCCTGCCCCTCCTGGGCTCCACTCCAGCCCCTGTCTTTTTACTTAGTCTCTTCATGTGCTTCAGGATTGGTGTCCCCTCTGGTGGTCTGTGCATGACTCTGCCAAGGAAGTTGATTCTTTCTGACTGCAGCCTGGGTGCTCTCCCTCTCTTCCACTTATGCATCTTTTTGCTTTGGGGTGGTGCCTAGGCTCCTGTCTCAAAACAAAAAACCAAAAGGTATGCATATAGCTCAGTGGTAGAGTAACCCCAGGTTCAATCCCTAGTACCAAAAAAAAAAAAAAAAAAACAAAGTTCTGAAATTGAAGTTTGCCCAATCAGAAACAAACCACACATCTACCAGCAGGGCATCTTCCTCACCCAGGAGCGGACTAGAGGACCACCACTGACAAGTGGGCCAGAAGATGCCACACCTGTGGAGTGTGGGCTGGGAAAGGAGAGCTTCTCAGAGCACCACAGAGCTCCCGGAAGCATCAAGCATGGAGAGAAACAGAAGGCTGCCAGAAGCTGTCATTGTCTTGCTGATTTCTAGTCAGTCCAGGCTCAAGTCCTCTGTTGGATGTGCATATTTTGAATCTTCCATCAGTAGCTTCTCTTTTCATTCTTTAGCTTGTTGTCTTTTTCTTCTTATTATTATTATTTTAGTTATAGGTGGACACAATACCTTAATTTATTTATTTTATGTGGTGCTGAGGTGCCTCACATGTCAGTTCATATGCATGTGAATGCCAGTCTTGAGTGGAGCCCATTGCTTCTGCAGGCTCTGTGGCACCTCCTGTAGATGCAGCCGAGGGGAGCCTCCCTGTGGAGGCTGCAGGCTTGGAGGCAGCAGCATGGGAGCCTGGGGTGTGGGGTTCCTGTCCTGGTTCTGAGGGTCTGCAGTTCTGGAGTTGTGCTTGGCTGCTGGCTCCGGGGGTGGGGGGGAGACACAACTTCATTTTTCCAAAGTGTTCAAGTTTCAAGGGCGCCCTGTGCTAGTGGGTTTACTGTAAGATTCGCTCACTGAGAAGAAGCCCAAGGAGAGTGGGCTGTGGCAGCTTATTAGTAACTGTTTTTTTTTCTTCTTCTTTTCAGGTACTGGGCATTGAACCCAGGGGTGTTGTTCTACCATGAGCTGCACCTAGCCCTTATTTATTTTTATTTTTATTTTTATTTTTTTTTGAGACCGGGCCTTGCTAAGCTGCTAGGCTGGCCCTATGGTGCTCCTGCCCCAGCCTCCCAAGTTGCCTGGTGTGCACCACTATGCAGGTTCTGGTAACTGTTTTAGGAGCATATGTTTACTTATAGGGTCTTTTTATGTTTACATAATGTGCATGTTGAAGCTTGTGACTAATTGACTCTACTAGTGGTACTCACTGAATTCATGAATTAAAGATTAGTCAGGAGTAGAGTAGGGAGTTAGTACCTGTGGTCATGGGTGTTCTATTTGGGGTGCTGAAAAATGTATTGAATTGTGCTGATGGTTTCACACCTCTGAATTGCAGGTTTTAAGTGGGAACTTTTTCAGCATTTGAATATATCACATACAGATGTTAACAAGTTGCTTACTATAGCAATCTTATGTCCCAGCTCGGTGAGTTTAAAACAAATAGAACCACAGCTGGGGCTTAGACAGCATAGGTGCAGTTCTGCAGCCCAGGAAGCTGGATGTCCAGGACCCAGGCCCTGACAGAGTCAGTGTCTGGCCAAGGCTGCTTCCTGGTTCCCAATGGTGCCTTCTCACTGGGTTCCTCATGTGGGGGAGTTTGGGGTTGGGGTCCCTTTCATAAGGGCACAACCTCCTGAAATTATACTATGGGGACCAGGTTGGGAAAGAAAAAAGCCTCCTTCACAGGCTCTTTCCCTCTGTGTTGGGAAAGAGCCTGTGAAGGAAAAACCCCCAGCTGAACTGTTTACCCTTGAGCCTCGAGGGGCCACAGAGTGTGGGGATCAATCTGTGCTCCTGCATCTGTGAGCCTGTGCACACTAATGGGAGGTGGTTGTCAGAACTGCTGTCTTTCTGACCAGCTGGCCAGGATCTTGCCTCTGCCCAGGCCTCAGGGCACAGTGACTAGCCCTCTGCAACAGGAGCCCTTTGAGCTGAGGGGCTCAAGGTGCTGGGGTCTCAGCAGGGTGGGGCTCCCTGAGGCAGGGTGAGGCTCATCCCTGACTTGCCAGGCCACATGCCCCAGCTGTGGCTTTCCTGGGCGTGGCTCACCAGGTGCCCACCTTTGGCCGGCTGTCATTGTTAGTGAAGTTCAGTATGAGCAGCATGCCAGCAGCACATCCTTATTGGAGAAATCAGGCAGCGAGCATTTAACTTTTGTGAGTGAAGTGGAGGCTGTTTGGGGTGTCCCAGGAGGAGTGGTCTTGGGGCTAGAGGACCCTGCTGGGACTGGAGGTCTCAGGGGTGGCAGTTCTTCTTGCTGTCCTAATCTTGTTCTGCCCACACATATTCTGGATGCCCCAGAGGGCCTCCCCACATGCCCATACTGTAGACATGAGGCCTGTGTTGGGCTGACCTCAGGACCCTCTGCTGCTGGCCTCTGGACCTCTGCATTTTCATGGATGTACAGGAGGCCCTGCTGTTTTCCTGCCCATGAGGCAGTACTCTGTTCCCTCTCTCTTAGCCCACAGCACTTAGGGAAGCCCTGCTTTTGAAAGGGGTGTGGCCCTGTCGTGGCCTTTGCAACCCCGTGAGCCCTGGGACACTCAGTGCTGCCTGGTGTACCAAGTGCCATCCTCCCTTTGCTGTGTGGAAGGTCGGCTTGTTGGGCTGTCCCTTTCTCTGCTCTCTCCTCTAGCCAGTCAGCCAGTGCTGTGGGGTGGAGATGGTGCTTGGGCACGTGGCTGTGGGAGAAGGGGCATTTCCACCTTAGGGCATAGGCAGTCAGGAAGTAGTACCAGGCTGAACCTGTGGGACACCCAGGGACCCTCTTCACAGCTACCACTCAGGGCTGGAAACAGGATTTCACCGATATGAAAACCATAGGAAATTCCCTTTACAGTGTCCATATATAAAAATCAATTAGACACATCCACACAAAGTGAATTTAAAACTTACTAGGAAAAGGTCGAAGCTGATTACTCTTAAATTGCTAAGGTGGTTACGTGATGCTTCTTTTTAACCAGAGTTGTTTTGAGTGGCAGCATCTTGGTAAGTCAATGCTATTGTGTCCTAGGGAGGCGCCACATCCACCACCTGGGGAGCCAGCTGCAGCTGAACCAGCACTGCCTAGACACAGCCTTCAACTTCTTCAAGATGGCCGTGAGCAAGCACCTGACCCGAGGCCGGAAGATGGCCCACGTGATTGCTGCCTGCCTCTACCTGGTTTGCCGGACAGAGGGCACACCACGTATCCTTTGTCCAGGGAGCCCCCTAGAAGACTCCATGCTGGTTCTTGGTTGCTTTCCTTGGATGATTCAGTAGTTGCAAGAACTTGATGCTGGTATTAACTGTCAGATAACCTCATTGGATCACCATTCTCAGTTGACCCCAGGCTTTCTTTTACTGAATTGAGAGACCAGGAAGCAAGATGCCTGTTCTTTTGCAGTCAGGGGAGCTAGGGTTCTGCCAACTCCTGGAAACCATGCCCTGGATTTTCTTCTGATCTTGAACTGACTTGTACTTGGGTGCCATTTTTGGTGTCTTCCTCTGGTTTAAGGAGGTGGAGTGTTGCTGCCAAATTAGATTAACCAGACTGGGCTTGTTGTCCCTGCAGACTTGAGGCTGGAGGAGGAAGGGGGTGGCCTGCAGTGTTTGCTGGCCCCACTCCTGTTCCTCGCAGGCATCTGGTCCTGACCTCTGCACATGCACACGTGCATTGGGAAGTCTAGTCATTGGTCCTGAAGAAACCAGGGCACCTCAACCTCCCCATCCTGTACTGTCTGTCATGCAATGCCTTTTGGGGATTCTTCTCCTCTTTCCTTAAGTCTCTGGTCATGCTCTCCTCATTTTGCAGGGCATTTTCTCTGAAGGCTCCCTGAGAAAGGATCTGCTTTGAGCTCTGAGCCTGTGAAAATGATGGAGTACAGAATTTCAGGGACAAATGTGTCCCACAGGCCACATGGTACTGCCCAGTGCCTTGCTCCAGTATTCCCAGCCTGCACTGGTGCCCCACTGAGCCTGACTCTTGGTGTGACTATTTTGCTTTGCCCCATAGGCCTGAGCATCTTCTGCTTGTCTTCAGGGGTGTGACCCCTGGGCACCTCCGTCTGACTGCTTTTGGGCCTGGACTTGCCTGGAGTCTCCTGCTTCTGCTTCCTGTGCTCACTGCACCTGCCCCACTGCAGGCCTCCGGTGCTCTCCCTCTCTTTCACTTATGCATCCTTTTGCTTTGGGGTGGTGCCTAGGCCCCACCTTCGTGTTTTTTGCTTCCGGGAGCTCTCTGGTGCTCTGAGGAGCTCTTCTTTCCCAGCCCACACTCCACAGGAGTGGCATCTTCTGGCCCACTTGTCAGTGTAGTCCGCTCCAGGGTGAGGAGGATGCCCTTCTGGTAGATGTGTGGCTTGTTTCTGATTGGGCAAACTTCAAATTCAGAATCTTTTTTTTTTTTTTTTTTGTACTAGGGATTGAACCTGGGGTTGCTCTACCACTGAGCTATATGCATACCTTTTAGTTTTTATTTTGAGACAGGGTCTTGCTAAGTTGCCCAGGCTGGCCTAGAACTTGTGATCCTCCTGCCTCAGCCTCCTGAGTTATTAGGATTGTAGACATGCACTACCTGCCCAGCAAATTTCAGAATCTGTCCTTAAAATGTCCTTTTAAAAGCTGGAAATTTATCATTTTAGCTCACAGTATATTGTTGCAACCCACTTAGAAACCTTTGAATCTTAGAAACCGTTGAAGAGCAATGGGGGATTAAGAAAGACAAACACTTATAGAGCGAAAGCTGGGACCAGGTGGGACACCATCCTCAGATGGAGGAACAATGACCCAGAGCCAGCTCAGCACATTCATTATATAGGTTTTATCATCAAAACCTGTGAGAAAGTTTCTGTGAGAAAATTTCTTCAAAGCAGGCAGTCTTGAAGGTCTAAGTACTGGCAAGCAATTATAATTATCTTGTTGCACTAGTAATTCTCTATCTCTACCAGCTGGTGTCTGAACTCAGGGTCAAGACTGATAGTTCCATGACTTGCATAGGACCTCCTCAGGCAGGACATCACATGGTAACTGGGCAATTTTGTCCTGTACCTTTTGCACAGGAAGTTCCCAGCATAAGTGCAGTAATAGCCATGAGGCAGAGACCATGATCCAAGTCACCACTCTCCACGGGGCATAAAGTGTAATTGCTTTAAGGGATGATGTGAACACCCAGACAGTCCTTGCGCACGTTAGGAGCAGAGACCAGCCTGCATGACTACTTTGTCATAGCCCTGCCACTGCCAGTGCTGAGCACCTCTGCAAACCCTGTGCTGAGAAGACTCCTAGCCTGGAGGCAGGAGCAGCAGCACCACTGTGCAGAGGCTAGGAAGCAGGACCCTAGGGTGACCAGCCTGGACACTGCAAAAGCCTGAGGGCATCTAGGTGTGTATGTGTGTGCCACCCCAACCCTCCTCTCACCCTGTGCAGAAAACGCATCCTTGACTGCTCTGGAAATTGAGCAGCTCGGAGTGAGGTGATAGAGACCAGCAGAACAGGCAAGTGTCCTGCAGCCTGAGGTAAAATGTGGCTCTGTGCCTTGTGTGCTGCTGGTGGGAGGAGCAGTGTGTGGTGCTCTGGGAGGCCATGCCTCCTGAGGCTCCCAGTCACCACGGACACAGTAGCCCACAGTAGCCCAGGTGTTACCTGAGACAAAAGCCTGTGTCCACACAGTGCAAATACTGTAGTGTTGACAGTAGCCAAGATCTGGGACCATCCGAAGCATCCTCTTGGTGAATGATGAGCCAGGTGCAGTGTATCTGTACCAGGAGCGTCGTGAGCTATGAAGATGAAGTATGGGATGAACCATGGAGATGTGTTCAGGCAGTGGTGATAGTCACATAGCTCTGCAGGTGAAGTGGAAGCCGCTGCACAGTTGGGGAGCATGTCGCTTTCATTTCATGACCCTGCTAAAGATGGCATTGTGCCCCCAGGCTGGGCCTTGCACTGAGGCCAGTGTCCCAGCCCCTCTGGGCTGTAGTTCCTAGCTGGGCCCCACCCTCCAGCCTTGCTCTCCTCAGTACTTCTAGTAGCTGTGTCTGGTGGCCTACCTCTCATTTCCCCGTTTATCCTGTCTTGGTGGTGCTTTGGGGGAAGATGGGGAGACAGGTGTGGCTCGCTCTTCTCTGTTCCTTTTCAAGTTGATGGCAGCACCCTGCCCATCTGTCTTGCTTGTACTGGTGCACCTCTGTCTGTCGCTGCTCTCTGTCTTCTCCCTTCCCGCTGCCCACAGCATGCATGACTCTTCATCCTGGCCGCTCCTGCAGCGAAGCCGTCTGGCTGGGCTCACAGACTGGCTCAGCTTGGCTTCCACATGAGAGCCACACCCTGGGAGGTGTGCAGAGTCAGACTGCCGTCCTCATGCCCCCTCCTCCCCCTTGGCACTGCTAGTGGGATGTCTGGTCCTGCAGGGCGTGCTCCTTTCAGCCAGGGGGAGCAGTGCCTTCCACCTGACCCATCACCACACCACCTTCAGTGGGACCTGGGGGAGTCCTGTGCTGTGAGCTCACTGTGCAGGGAACGGGTGCCCTGGAGAGGCACCTGGGATTCTCCTATCACTCTATCCAGGCTATGGGCAGGAATGGCCCTGGGCCCGTGGCGAGACACAGGAAGTTCTTGTTCAGGAAGGACAAGGGCAGGATGTAGGCTTTCAAGCTCACTCCTTCCTCTTCTGCCTGCCTTTCATTCTTGTCTTGCACACATGACCCTTCCCTCTGCTCCACAACCTGCTGGCCCCCACTACCAGTCCCCAATCCCCAGAGGAGACGAGTCCCATCTGAGGCCAGCCTGGCTGGGCTTGTCCGGGAAGCAAAGACTCAAAACCTGCCTCTGACCTGAACGCACAGGATCCTGAGGTGGCTCAAGGCCTTCTCCGGCATGGTCGGGCAACTTTTATCGTGTTCCTAGTGCCCTGTGCTCTGGGGTCAGTTGAGTGCTTCAGGGCTTCCTCTCCCATTCTCTGCCGCCAGGCTCCCATACCACCTCTCGCTTTTCCTTCTGCCTGCCTCAAGAATAGTGGATTTACATTTTCTAAGTGGACAATACAGTTGGATGGTAGCCTGTGGAGGAGCCCCACCCACCAGGCATAGCACCTGCCCTGTCACGCTTGCAAAGGCCAGCACAGAAAGGACTGCACGTCTCTGGCTTGCCCAGCTGTGGGCTCAGGACTTTGAGCCCTGCTGGTCAGTATATCCTGACTGCCAGTGTCCACTGACAATGGCCGTATGCCCACCCTGGGTCCTGCAGTTGGGCGCTCTGCCCCAGAGCCGAGCGTTTGCAGTAGTAGTGGTCGGCGGCCCGTTGTCCATGTGGCCTAGGCAAGCATCCCTGCACTCCCATTGCCTTTTCATCTCTCAGTGGCATCTTTTGAGGAATAAGAAGTTTTTCAATTTAACAAAACCCAATTATTCATCTTTTCCTTTATAGTTAATGTTTTTGCACCCCATTTAAGAAGTCCTTGTCAGGCTGGGATGTAGCTCAGTGGCAAAGCCCTGGGTTCGACCCCCAGAGTTCCAAAAAAAAGAACTTCACAAAAAAAAAAAAAAGACTGGGAAAAAAAAGTCCTTGCCTTCTGAGGAAGGAGACCTCTTCCTGCCCAGGTGTGCAGATGACATGGTGCCAGTCACAGCAGAGAACCTCCTGTCCCACTGCTCAGTGGGGGTGCTGCTGTTGCAACGTGGAGTGTGGGGTGCGCTCTGAGTTCATGAATTTGAAGAATGAAACCCAGAGACACGAGAGCGAGGGCAAAGTGACGGGGTTTATTAGGGTAGCAGAAAGCAAGCAGGCAGAGCTCCCTAAGGAGGGCCCCCCAGGGAGGGGCGCCGGGAGCAGCTGCTGTCTGGGGGTTCATGTGGACCTCCATGGCTGAGGGAGCTTCCCCGACCTGGTCCTGGCCAGGCACTGAGTGTCCACTGCTCTTCATGCGCTCCCTGGCCCACTCAGGTTACTGAGGCCCTTCTTGGTGGGGGTCTGGGTCCCAGAGAGTAGGCGTCTCATGACGGGTCTTCCCTGTGTACACAGGAGCCGGCCTGACCTGGAGGAGCCAGGTGTCCTGCCTGCCCTGCTAACCCTTTCCCTGCCTCACCACCATGAGCCTCGCAGATGTGCCCAGTGCCAGCATCTGGCCCCTTTTCTCAGTCTGTGCCCCAATGCCAAATTATTTCAGAACGACCGTCACACAGGATGTCTCAGTGTCTGTGGCATGAGGTGCAGGTCTGCTCTGCCTTGAGGCGTCTTAGCCTCATGGGGTCCTTTTTTCTTATGTGTGCATTTTCAAATCAGACGATTGATTTCTCTAAGAACCTAGGGTATTGAGTGGGGCCTATAGATCTTTGGGGAGAGGTGAAATTCATCCAAACAGTCAGCAGATCTCCTTTATTTCTCTACTTGTTCTTTACTTTTTGTTGTTGTTTTTCACTACCAAGGATTGAATCCAGGCCAGTACTAGACATATGCTGTATCACTGAGCCACATCCCATGCCTTTTTAAAACTTTTATCTTGAGGCAGGGTCTGTCTCAGTTGCTGAGACTGGCCTCAAACTTAATGATCCTCCTACCTTAGCCTCCCAAGTGTCTGGGGCTACAAAAACTGCAGTTCTTCACCCATTGTCTGCTCTCTGTCTTCTGCATGCCTGGGACTGCCGTGCAGTGCTGCTGTCCCTGGGGTGCTTCTGCTCCTCACTATCGCCTGCTCTGGGGTTTTGCAGGTGGCTCTTTCTTAGGTTAAAGATGTCGTGTTTTTGTTTAAGAGTTTTTGTCATGAAAGATACCTCGTCATACACACCTCATGTACATATTGGTACGATCATATAGGCCCCCTTAATTGTCATTAAGTAAGTCACAGCGACCCTCTCGCACTTAGCCATGGTCCTGTTGCCCCCTCTGCACATGGCTGGGCCTCACCTGCTAGTATCTCGTGCTATGGGTCATGCAGTGGCCTTGTGCTTGTCTTTGTGTCATGACGTCCTTGTCAGTGCGGTTATCACAGGAGCAGGGCTCCAGAGATGCTGGGTGCGCCTGTGTCTGCTGTCTGGGTAGTTCAGGCCATGAGGTGTTTCTTCTTCTGGTTTTTTTTTTTGGTGGACCTGGGGTTGGAAGCAGGGCTTTGCTCTCATGCTCCACCACTGAGCTGCACCCCCACCCTTCCTAGTTTATCTTGAGATAAGGCCTTGCCAAGTTGCCCAGGCCGGCCTGGAACTGCCATCCTGCCTCGGCCTCCAGTATGGCTGGGGTCCCAGGCGTGTGCCACCCAGCTAATTTGTTCCTTACTGTCAGAAAGGTGGCACTGACGCTGTCTAGGCCTTCGTCTCCTTTGTGGGAAGGTTTTACGCCGGATTCACTTTCTCCCACAGACCTAGGATTATCCAGACTGTGTTTTCTGGTTTCTGTTTGGGTTGGGTTGTGCTTTGCAGGGTGTCTGTCCTGCCTGCCTGGCATCAACCTTGATGCCCCTGGATGCGCTCTCCTGGATATGCTCTCCGTGTCCCTAGCAGTCGTAGAGCTCTCACTTCTTTCATGCCCGAAGCTGGGGATTTTGCCTTTTTTCTTTATCCATCTTGCTAGGGGGTTGTCAGTGTTTTTTATTCTTTTTCTTTTTTCTTAAGAGTTCTGTTGAGTTGTAATTCACACATTGTACTATTCACCCATTAAAGCCTACATTTTAGTGGTTTTTTAATTCATTTCCAGAGTTGTGCAGCCATTGTTATGTCAATTTTAGAATTGACCTCAAAAAGAAACCCAGGCTTGGCACGGTGGCACACACCTGTAATCCCAATGGCTCAGGAGGCTGAGGCAGGAAGATCACAGGTTCAAGGCTAGTCCGGGAAACTTAGTGAGACCCTAAACAACTTAGTGGGATCATATCTCTAAATAAAAAATAGGAAGCTGGGCTGGGGATATATATATAGCTCAGTTTGTAGAGTGCTTGCCTTGCATGCTCAAGGCCCTGGGTTCAATCCCCAGCACCACCAATAAAATAAAATAAAAAGCCACTAGCCTTAAGCAATCTTCTGCCTCTGTGTTTGCCTATCTGGGCATCTCCCTTGACCGAGCTGTGTGTCTTCATGCTGCTGGTCTTGGGAATACTAGGTGCTCCCATGTGCTGGTGCTAGCATGCTCCAGGGTCCCCTCGGTGGTGGAGAACCTGTGCTGTGTGCTTAGGCTTTGCTGCTGGATGGCGGCTCTTTCCTTCTTCCCCTTTCCTTGGGCTTAATTTTTACTATTCTAGCTTCTTGAAACAGATGTTTAGGTTTTTGTTTTTTTGCCTTTCTTTTCTAACATGAGCTTTCGAGATGACATTTTTCAAGCAGAGTTTAGTTCCATTTGTCATATTTTTATCACCATTCAGTTCAGTATATTTTCTGTCACATCTTGTGACTAAACACTCAGGTGGGCTCACTGGAGTGGCTTCATCTTGAGTCTGGCTGCACGAAATAACCACATAGAGACAGAGAAATACCTTTTTCTTGGGTCATTAAGTAAGTAGCGAATGTCCTGAACCCTTTTATTGGGAAGAAGCCATTCAAGTGAAGCAAGGGGTCAGGTCTGCTGTCAGGAGGTTGACTGACATGTAGGCAGGCCACACCCAAAGGCAGAACGAGAGAACGGGATACACAGAGGGAGTTTCCATGGAACATTCTATCCCAAACAGGGCAAAGGGGTAGGATTACAAAAGAATAAGTGTGTGTAGCTCAACCCCAGGGGCAGGCCCCACAAAGAGAACCTCCTTGCTATCCAAGAGGGGGAAAAGACCGAGTCATGAGTCATGGCACTACCGCGCCAGACTACAGTGATCTTTCAGATCCCCATGGTGCATCAGGCTCCCCACAAATTTTCTAATTTTCATTTGCTGGTCCCTCTTGGATCCATAGGTCTTTAGAAGGATATGGCTTATTATCAATTTCTAGTGTAATTTCATTGGTTTTGAGAACAGAATAATTCCCACATTTTCCGGGTTGTTGAAAGGTGCTTGGCAGCCCCGCAAGCAGTCTACCTGGTGGTTTCCATGTGTCTGTAGTTGGCAAGTGCCCCTAAGTGCCCTGGGCTCCAGTTGGTGTACCATGTTGCATGTTCTCACTGACCCCTCTGTTCTGAAAGAGGTAGATAGAGTCTCCCACTGCTCCTTTGATCTGGTCAAGTTTCCATATAGTGTGAGGCTGTGTTAGCAGGAAGGTACAAATCCAGGATTGTGCACCTCCCTGGGGGAGCCAAGTCTTTAACATGAGAAAATGTCCCTCAACTACTTTCCCCTTGAATCTGCCTTGTTTGATTTGGTGTTACTAACCATTTTCTATTTTGTTCAGTCCTTTTTTTTTTTTTTTGAGAGAGAGAGAGAGAATTTTTTTTTTTTTTCAGTTTTCGGCAGACACAACATCTTTTTCTGCATGTGGTACTGAGGATCAAACCCAGGCTGCATGCATGCCAGGCGAGCGTGCTACCGCTTGAGCCACATCCCCAGCCCGGTTCAGTCCTTTTTGACATATTCAGAATGTGTTCTTTTGTAAGCATAAATTGTGCATTTTGGTTTAATTTATTTTGGGTTCTGGGGACTGAACCTATGGATGCTTAACCACTGAGCCACATCCCCAGCCCTTTGTATTCTTTATATTGAGCCAGGGTCTTGCTAAGTTACTAAGGGTCTTGAGAAGTTGCTGGGGCTGGCTTCAAACTTGTGATCCTCCTATCTCAGCCTCCCGAGTCACTGGGTTTACAGGCCACTGCATCCGACTTGGTCTTTTTTTAAATTTTAATTGGAGAATTTCATCCATTTAAGTTTAATATGATTATTGGTATATTTAGTTTAAATCTGTTTTCTTTTTATATTTTCTGTGTACCAATTTTTCTTCCACCCCTTTCTTCTCACCTCTAAGGGTAATCAAATTTTTATTATTCTGTTTTTCTTCCAAATACCTTGGTCGAATATTTATTTGTTATTAGCCTGGTGCTTGCCCTGGAGATTGTGTCCTGGTCCTTGACTTGTGTCTACCTTAAAGGAGAATGCCATTCTTTCCCAAGCAGTGCAGAATCTCCATGCCCTTGTTTCATCATTGCTGCTGCTGTAAGCTGTTAGGATTCCTTTAGCTTGACCCAATTTTGGCCTTTTCCAGGGCTCTTCATTCCTACCTATGTTTCTGTGCTTTGACCTGGTGGTGTTTTCCTTCCTCTGAATAAACTCCTTTTGTGTTTCTTTTAGTATGTCTGCTGACAAAAAAAAAAACCTTTTATTTTTCTTCAATTTTGAAAAACGTTTTCAGTGGGCATGGAAGTCCGGCTCTGCTCTTTTAGTGTTTTGTGCTGTTGTTCTGTTTCCTTAGCCTTGCTTGATTCATGTTGAGGTTACCTGTGAGGCCTCTTGTACTGTGAAGGTCACTGTCTCTGATCACCACCTGCTTTGGAAGAAGACCCTTTGTCTTCAGCTTCAGGGGCTAGATTCTGATGTATCTAGTTATGTTTTTCTGTTTACCCAGGTTGTTATTTGTAGAGCTTCTAGAATTTGTAACTTGATATCTTTTGGTCTGTTTGGGAAAAATCTTGGGTAGTGTCTTGTTAAACATCATTTCTGTCCCATTCTCTCTCTCTTCCTTCTCTGGGACTTCAGTTACACAGATGTTAGACCTTCCTTTATTTAGATGTTTGTAATTTCAGTGCTTATTTGTCGATAGATCCTTCTTGTCGGAATCCCTTTCTTTGCTGAATTTCTCCATCTCAGCTGTATGAGAGCCCTCTGTATTCTGTGTTCAGATCTTCTGTGGATGTGTATGGCTTGGTTTTTGTTCATTTGGTCTTGTCTATATCTGGGAAAGTGTGGAGACAGTGGGCATTTTTCCTCCCAAAGGGATTTAATCCTTACCTGTGCCAGGGTGTACCTGCCTGAGATGGCTGGTCCAGCCTGCTGGGGACTGTGGCAGTATCCAGCTGACACACTCTTTCTGAATGCATAGATGCACACACAGCTCTTTCCTCCTACAGAGCTGGCTCCGAGGGGCCCAGCCTTTGTGCTGTTCAGGGAGTGCTGTGTAGGAAGCTGTGTGCACAGGGTAGGCTCACTGGAGTGGCTTCATCTTGAGTCTGGCTGATTTAGATGTTCCTGAATTCTAAATTTTGCCTTGCCCTATGCCATGAGACTTGGGTATGCTGGGTAGTGCAGCTGCCCTAAGGAGAAGGCAGAGTGGCGGTGTCTCTGGCTCTCCGCTGTTACCGTTGTTCTTGGCAGAGGAGGCAGCTTCTGCCAGGTTGTGAGCACAGCTAACCTGGGAGGCGGAGGGAGCCTGAGGCTGCGAAAGGCATTTGTGCTCCATGTAGCTTGCCCCTTATGGCCCTCAGGTTGCTGGGCCACACAAATGCCTTTGGAATCCCAGGGCTACAGGTGTCATAGTGACCACCGAACAGGTGACTGGGTCCTGTAACTGTACCCTGAGATCCCTGCCCCCCCAGTGGTCAGTGGCCTCAGGGCCCTGCACCTGCTGGTGGCGTGCAGCTGAGTGGGATCTGGTCTGGGCCCTTCCTGCACCGCTTCCAGCAGATGGCAGTGTTGGCACAGGCTGTGGGATGGGGCCAGGAGAGGCCTGTGCTGAGCATCTCTGAATCTGGTGGCCTGGCCACATGGAAGGAGGTTCTCTGTTCAGAGCAGGGGCTTTGAGTAGGCACTTCACAGACTTCACATGACATAGAAAGAGTGATATGCATGATTATACAGAGGAAGCCTCATGGTGGGTTGCCGTAGCCAGCTGTGGCTCTTGGATCTGATGCACTGTAGGAGTCGGACAGTGGAGTCATGACGCACTGGCCCTTCTGTGGACAGAAGAAGTGGGCCAGGAAGGGGCACCCACAAGACCCACATCAGTTGTCAGATACATGCTCTCCATTGCAGCTTAGGGCTGGCAGGAAGGTAGCCCTGGGTAGGAGCAGGAGCAGAGCAGGCTATTCACGACACGGGAATGGGTCCTTGTGAGGCCCATGTTCTGGGGAGACTGAACCTACCCCAGATTATGTTCAGGATCCGTTAGAACTTGGCGCAGGCTGTTGTGGGGCCCACCAGGTTCTGTTTCAGAAAAGTTGGAAAGGAGGTTCTGAGTCAAACCTTCTTCCCTTTCACATTCTTCTTCTTCTTTTTTTTCTTTTTTTTGGTACTGGAGATTGAACCCAGGGGTTCAATCTGCTGAGCTATACCCACAGTCCTTTTTAATTTCTATTTTGAGACAGGGTCTTGCTAAGTTGCCCAGACTGGCCTTCTACTTGCGATCCTCTTGCCTCAGCCTCCTGGGTCGCTGGGATCACAAGTTTGTGCCATCATGCCTTTCATGCCTCTTTGACAGTCTTAAACATTACAGCCAGCTATATGCTTTTGCACAGAGCTGTGGAGTGAGGGTAGCTCAGGGGAAGCTGTTTCTGGAGCCTCTGCCAGCTGTACTATTCACTTGGGTGGGCAGGAAGAATAGTTTCTGGTGTCCCAAGAGGCTATTTCTACTTCAGCTTCTGGTGAGGGCTGGGAATTACGCTGGACCAGGAGTGGGAGCCAGATGTGGAGGTGCACACTCGTAGTCCCAACTACTTGGGAGACAGAGGCAGGAGTCACAAGTTTGGGGTCAGCCTAGGTAACTTAGGTGGGCAGCCCTGTCTCAAAATAGAAATGAAAAGAGCTGGGAATGCAGCTTAGTGTAGAACACCTCTGGGTTTGATCCTCAGTCACGATGGTGGCAGGGTGGAGCAGGAATAGGAGTTAACCTCTGAGTTTGGTTTCTTGATTCTTTTTTTTAGTTGTTGATAGACCTTTATTTTATCTATTTATTTATATGTGGTGCTGAGACTCGAAGCCAGTGCCTCACACTGCCAGGCAAGTGTGCTGCTGTTGCCCAGCCCCTGCCCTGGTTCCTTGATTCTTTTTTTTTTTTTTTTAATATTTATTTTTTAACTGTAGTTGGACACAATACCTTTATTTATTTTTATGTGGTGCTGAGGATTGAACCCAGGGCCTCACACATACTAGGCAAGTGCTCCACTGCTCAGCCCCAGCTCCAGCCCCCCACCTTTTTTTAAAAATTCCTAGTTGATTCCTAGTTTCAGTTGCCATTGCAAGAAAATGGAGGAAGGATAGTCTAAATACCTCCCTGGCAAGCAGGGACCATGATTGTGTAGATAGTGGGTGTCAGGACTGTGTAGACAGTTGCCCCAGTGTTGGAATACCATAGCCTTGGGATTCCAAATGTAGGCAGTGGACCTCAGGACTGTGTCGATAGCAGGTGTTGGTACTATGCAGGTAGTGATGCTCAGAGCCCCTGTGCCCCCTGACATAGTGCCTGCACAGCCAGTGCAGGGCAGGTTGCTGAGTGCTGGGACCTTTGCTGTGGTAGAGCACCCTGTGTTCCGCTCTAGATTGTGCTGTGAGCTGGGCTGGGATTCAGAGCAGTAGGGACGTGCAGAAGTATGGGTGCTGGATTGTCCTCCTCCTTGGGCATTTGGTGGTCCCACTCCTCCATCCTGAGGTGTGTCGTTGCCTCCAATACCCTCTCTAGTCCCCTGGGGCCTTGGAATGGTGTTGTCAGGTCCTCCCTTGCATATCTGAGTCCTCTTGACTTTTCTGTGGACACCTGCTGTAGGCTAGACTCAGCACCCTAAGGTTTGTTTTTGTTGTTATTGTTGTTGTAGTTTTAGTTTTTTAGCTAACAGACAGCAGACACTGAATGGCATTATTGTTTTCTTATTTGTGCTGCAGACAGAGCTAGGGCCTTGTACCTGTTAAACAGTTTACCACTGAAATACACACCCCCAGCCTGTACCCATCTCCTAGGAGTCTGTGTGTGCTGGCACCTGGCAGGCACTGAGCAGTCCTTGAGGAATGGAGCATGATTGTGGTGGCTTGCATATTTCCATGCTGTTGTGGGCAGAAGACCTTCCATGGAGTGGACACTTGAGTGGGCAGGTGCATGGGAGCTGCTCTGCGAAGGCCCTGTCCTCTTGAGGATCATAATGAAGCCCCTGCTATTTCTGGTTCCCCTGACCTGGCTCCACACTTCTTCTTGCAGTCCCTTGTCCTCCCTCAGCACCTGGGGATTGGAAGGTTCATACAGGTCTGATGTGCCACCTCAGCCTCCTTGATCAGGTATTGAGCTTAGGTGTGGCAGACAAGGCTCAGCCCCTGAGGGTGCAGTTCTAATAGTTTTCATAAAGATGTTCCTTAACTCCGGCTGCAGACATGCTCCTTGATCTCAGCGACCTGCTCCAGGTAGACCACTTTCCCCACTGGAAGGGTTGATGGGCATAGCCTGCACCTCCACATGAGGCAGTCTGTGCTGCCTGTTGCAGTGGGAAGCTCCATCTGCAGGGTGGAGAGGCTCAGGTGCTGCAGGCTGGCTCTGCAGGGGTGGGAGAGGGTCACTGTGCTGTCCTGGTGCTGCTCAGGGCTCAGATGGCTCAGCATGAGAACCACTGCAGAGAACCATGTGAACTTTGTTCTTAGGAAATGGAGATTCCTTAAAAGCAAAGGAAAAAATTGAGACTCTCATGTATGTGTCTTAAACTATGGGAAAATTCACGTGTGCTTTCTGCGCTCAGAGAAAGCAACTTTTGTTTGATTGCTTGTTTCCAAACAAATGAACATTGTGGGAAGATCTTCCCAGGGATGCTCACAGTGTGAGCAGGCCCCAGGACCCCACATTATGTCCCCAATGATGGATTTCAGGGGCTAGCCGGGGACTGACTCAAGGCCCTTAGAGATGTCATAAAAAATGAAGCTGATGGCACTGTGAGGATGCACATTAAAGAGAAGTCTTCTGGGGTGCCCCCCAGGGTCCTGAGAGCCTATAGGCCACTGGTGCATGGGCTTCAGTGCCCTCCTATAGTAATCAGCAGTTTACCTCCACCTGAGTCAGATGGGACTTTGTATTTTTGTCCTCCCAGCTGTCTTCATAAATGGTGTCTCTCAGCAGCTACTGCCGAAATACTGTGGTAAAGTTAAACATGACCTGTTGGGATTGTGATGATCCAGTGACTCCACATTTCACATACACTGCACTCAGATCCAGGCAAGGCCATGACCCTGGCTTTACCCTGGTGGCTTCCTAGGAGAGATGGGCACCCAGGCCAGACAGCTACAGAAGTGACTTGGGCACTGCCTGAATGCAGAGTGGGATATGCCTGTTGGCTCTGGCTTCACAGCCTGCTTGCTAAGACAGAAGGTGGGCATGAGGGCTGAGGTTCCCACGCAGGACAGGGAGTCACATAGCCAGGGTAGACATGATACTGTTTGACCTTTTTTTTTTTTTTTTTTTTAATATTTTTTAGTTGTAGTTTAACACAATACCTTTATTTCACTTATTTATTTTTATGTGGTGCTGAGGATGGAACCCAGTGCCTCACGCATGCCAAGCGACTGTGCTACCACTTGAGTCATATCCCCAGCCCACTGATTGACCTTTAACAGCTCATGGGCAAAGCCAGGTGCAAGGCCTGGCACCTGCAGGAGACTGGGCCATGTGGCAGCTTTTGGTGTGAGGAGCCAGTAAGAGGAGGCTGGCAAGGTGGGCCCTTTGCTGGAGGGGCCTACAGCTCATACCTTTGTTCCTCTGAGATCTCCCTGCCCCCAGGAGCTAGGGTGGGACTGGCATTCAAGGGACAGGTATATTTGCACTTGTCTGGGTCATTGAGGACCTCACTCAGGATTCTGGCAAGGGCTGACTGCTTTGAAGAAAGGTTAGTAGGACTGAAGTCGAGAGACCACCTTGAGTTTAGATGTCATTTTAGTTCTTGCTTATGCATCCTAAAGGTTAAACCTCTCCTTAGCATAAAACTCAAGATCAGTGACCTCCTGGCTGGGACTCTGTGAAGGGACCTGGTGTTCCTGGGCAGGAAACCGTCTGGGTCCTCCCATGGGCCCAAGAGGAAGACCTCTTAATCTCTTCCATGGCAAAGGTTGTTCACCTGCCCAGATGCACTGCCTCTCAGAGGCCAAGCCAAGGCCCATGACAGTGGTCTGCATGCAGAATGTACTTCCAGCCTGGGGGATTAATGGGAGGGCTGGTTAGCTGTGTCCAGCCTATATTGCCTGTCCATAGAGAGGAGCCATCAGTCACAAGCTCAGGAGAATGAATTGTTATCTAATAAACAGCAGGATCTCTGGAATCTGGGTGTGGTGTTATGCACCTGTTTTCCCCAAGGACTGCTTGATCCTTCAAGACTAACATGGGATCTCTGGGAAGAGCTGCGTGCATATATATACATGCATAGCTTTTTATTTGTTTTTGTGGCACTGGGGATTGAACTTCAGCCCTTTTTGTTTTGAGACAGGGTCTCACTGAGTTGCCAGGCTAGTCTTGAATTTGTAATCCTCCTGCCTCAGCCTTCTGAGTAGCTAAGTAGCTGAGATTACAAGTGTTTGCCCATTCATGCATAGTTTTTAAATCTTTGACTTCCTGTTGAAGCCCCTTCAGAAACCTCTTTTCTGCATCATTCAGGTCTCATCCATTTGGGATTATGAGGTGGACAGGTAGAAATCAGCCTTCTAGTGGGACATGGATATCCTTGCAGAGGATGGAAGTGACTTACACAGGAATCCTGGTGGGGTCTAGGAAGGAGGGCGGGAGTACTCTTGTGAAGGGTGTGCCTACACTGCTGCCACTACACGTGGACACACTGTGTGTGTGCACACATCACACGCCAGGTGTTCATGTACTCACATCAGGCATATGTACCCACACCGTTGTGCACTTACACATACCACATGTCCACACATACCACCTTTCAGGAAGAGACCCCAGGAACTCCTGGACCCTGGAAACACATGATAGAGCTCTTTTAGAAGGTATTTTGCAAGCCACCAGCTCTTAGGGTAGAGGGCACTTCGGAGACAGCTGCACCCAGCCAGGACTGGGGGTGACCAGTGAACAGTCACCCACTGCCTGGATGGGGAAGCCAAGCCCTGGCCTTCCCAACTGGACAGGCTCCTGGAGCTGACATGTCCCAAGCACTCCCTCCAGTTCCTGCCTCTAATGTAGACACCCTGGTCTTGCCCTAGCAGTTTGTAAACACCTGGGGGGTTGTGGGGAATCACCTTTGTGCAGGAAAAGAGGCCTTGTCCAGGGCTGGGCTTGAGCCAGAGGAGGAATTTCTTTGGGAAGGCAAAAGGACCAGACTAGTCACACCTGTGAAGCCTGGGAGTTCCAGGGACAAGCCTGAGAACAGGTGTCACAAGCTCAGGCTGACACCAAAGCCCTGGCATGGGCCTAGGGTGGGAACTGGGATTTCCCTCCCCTGCATATTGTTCAAGATAATAATGTAGAAGGCTTGTCCCACCCATCTGTCCCCACTCAGAAGCATCCTCCCAACAGCCTGCCTGTGCCTCTGGTTAACGTTGGGCTCCCCAGGGGAGCCTGGCTGCACCCAAGTGCTGAGCCATGTCCTGGGAGGTTCTAGATTCTGACAAGCAATGGTGCTCCACCACCAGGCAGCCCCCAGGACAGTCCTCCTCCCTGTGACTCCTTCCCTGCATGTGTCAAGAAGAGAGCAGGGCAGCAGGCCTTAAGGTGGGAGCAGTGGAGGAACAGATAGGATCCTGCAAGGAATTTGAGGCCAAGGAAGTGTCATACGTCCACGTGTTGCCAGCAGGTCTTGATTCTGAATGAGTGCACTGTGCAAAGCTCCATCACACCAAAGGGCACCCTCCAGGTGGGACATTCTAAGCAGATGCAGGCATTGGCAGGACAGTGGAGTGGAGCCTAGGTAGTTACCATGGAAGAAGGGAGTCTCCTTTACCTGGAGGTCAGGGGAGATGGCTGGCTCTGAGGCATGGGTGGTAGCGTGCTCCACTGGCCAGCTGGGGGCTCTGATCATGGATTATTAAAAGAAACCAAACTTTTTCTTAAACACTAATGTATTTCTGGCTGTGCTCTTGTTGCTACAGGTGAACGTGTATGTGCTGGGGAAGACATTTCTGCTCTTGGCGAGGGAGCTCTGCATCAACGCACCAGCCATAGGTATGCTGGGCCTGGGTGGGGTTCTGCAGGGTCTCTGGGATCTGGCATGCAGGGTGCCCAGCAGGGTGGGAGGGATGCCACCTCAGAAGTGCAAGACTCCTAAAATCTCTCAGGAGCAGAGCCGGGCTATACTGCTGGTACAGAACCAGAAGGCACAGTGGAAAGTGTAGACCAGGCATACATGGAGGAAAGGGCACGTGGCGTAGCATGCTGGGAGCCCGTCTTGTTTGAACAGGTTTGAGGAACACACCTGCCCACCAGACACCTTTAAGAAGGCAGGGTATTCTCGCAGACGGTGTGAGGGGTGGCTCTAGGAGGCAGGTGCTCTCTAAACACTTCTACCAAAACTGGTTTCCTTGGCTTTCCCATCAGCACCTGGCATTGTCTTCTTATGGTGAAGAGGAACCACCTGGGCCAGGGTGGAGGGCTGGGCCCCTGGTGTTGGGGTAGTGGGATAGTCTAGTGCACACTGGGCTGAATCCCTGCCCTAGAAGCCACAGCATTGCCCACAGGGCCACCCTCCCTTTGGAGGTCAGGCAAGTACCATGGAGTGCTGGCATGGGTCAAAGGCCAGTGCCTAGAGTCAGTTCCATCCTGGTATACTCCACAGCAGGGAGCAGTGGTCTAGCACCAAATCTTCCTCCTGCAAAGGGTTTGTCTGAGGTGCCACTGATACTGTGGGAAGTGGAAACAGCCAGACAACTGTCCTATAGAGCTCTGGCCATAACCAGAGAGGGGAAGCCAGCCCATGAGCAACGCCCTGAGGGACAGATGAGTTCCCCTGGGTACCACTCTGCCCTGCTCACAGGCTTTCTCCCAACAATGCCAGCTGTGTGAGAGAAGGCCCAGCTCCCAACTGCTATAGTCACTGATCTACACTGGGCTCTTCGTTTTGTGAAACCTTTATTATGAAAATCCACTTAAATAGATGAACTACTTTAAGTGACTTTTCAGTAGTTTTTGGATTTGAAGGGGAAGGTCTCAAGGTAAGCTTGGAACCTCATGGAATCAAAAAAGATGGGAGGCACATCCAAGTACCCAAAGCCTGAGCACCACAGTGTAGGATTTGGCCAGGTCCTACACTGAGTCTCGAGTCTGCCCTCTGCCTGCAGTGTGCACTCCAGTGTATAGGAGACACTCAAGACTTGGCCACCAGGCTCAGGCCACATAGAAAAAGCTCTTGCTTCCCACACTTGGGCTGAGTAAGAAAGGGAAGCCTTTGATGTCAGGCCCTGGGCAGCATCCCACACCTCCCCTGCACTTACTGGGGAGCTCACCCTCTCTAGGCCCCTCACAATCTTAGGCATAGAAGATGAGCTCTGGGATCTGCCCACCCTGGACCCCCGTCCCATTGGTACTATCTGAAGAACACTGGAACTGGAAGGCCACCTTCCCACACTGTACTTCCGTCATCCCTTCCTGCCCAAAGTAGCTAAGCTCGCTGCCGTCTAAGACAGCGCTGGCAGTGTAGAAGGTGTCCTGCTCAACCTGGACTGGGTGCTCAAACCAGACCGGGAAGGTGTTACTGGATCCATCCGACACAAACTTGGTCAGGTTCTGAGCCAGGACCATCCCCAGCCGCTTGAGTTCAATCTTTACGGTGTACTCAGCCTTCCCAGAGCTGGACCCGTATAAGCCCAGACCTGCTATAAACACCCTTCTATCCACGGCAAACTGGATGCTGTCACAGCGCCCACGGTACCGCCACTGGTTGCTGCGGTAGGCAGAAGACTGGAAGCGGTGGCACCTCTGTGGAACAAGGCCTTTCCTCTTGGTCAGGGGAAAGTCAAGGAGGGGCTTGTTGGCAGCTGTGTACCACAGGAAGATGTTGTGGGTCTCCTCCAGGGTCAGGATGTCCGACTGGGCAGCACCATTGGCAAACTCCTCCAGAGTCATAGTTGGGATTCGGACCAGATAGAGGGCTCGCCCCAATACGTGCCTCTTGTTATGTGGGGTGGCTGGCAGGCCCTGCCTTCTGCACTCTGCTTCAGCCCAGTTCAAGACAGCTTCAAAGACCACTGCCTCTTTAGTGTTGAGGGCCTCACGGGTCACGATGATCTCCAGGGTCTGCCGGTCAATTTCACAGAAGCCTTCCGACCGAAGGGCCATCTCAGCCTGTGCATCAATGACCTCCCAGCAGCGCTGGGTCAGTTCAGGTTCCTCAAACAGCCGGCTCTGGGACAGCAGGACGCATGCATTTTTGGCTTCCAGGCTTGTCTCCAAAAAGGTGACACAGGCTTTTGCTAGCGCAGGCACAATGTACTTCTTAGCAGCATACAGAGTCGCCAGCACCGTGTCAGCCTCCAACTCGATCTCATCACTGTACATGTACCTGGTCAGGGCAGGGACCTCGTCGGGGGAGGGGGCCTGCTCCAGCTGGCCTGGGTGAGGAGCCTATGGGCTCCTGTGTGGGTGCCCTCCCGGGGAACTTCAGGAACCACCCTATCCTTCCAGCCCATCAAGGAGAGCACTTACTTTAACAAGACCAGGAATGCCGCAGGCTCCACGTCAGGAATGTGGATTTCGGACTTGACCTCTGCAAGGTCCCCATAGAACATAGCATAGAAGACAGAGCTGCCGACGGCCAAGACGTACTGTGGTTGGAAAAGAATCTCGTGAGCCACAGGGCAGTAAGGCAGGCCTGGGAAGGATCTGTCCAGCTACAGGCCAGCCCAGGGACAGCTGTGCCTCTACCCACCTTATGAGCGGGCACCCGCCTGGCCGCCCCCAGCGGCCCCACGATGAAGTGTACGTCTGCCATGAGCTCGTTGTTGAACATAAGCGCGTTCCTGCAAGCGCAGAGGCACAGGGCTCGCACGGGGCGCGCACAGAGCCGCGGGGGCGTGCGGGCCGGCGTGCGGGCGGCTCACCTCTCGCGCAGCGTCGGATGGAAGGACTGCCAGTTGGGGCTCTCAGGGTTGTTGTTGTCGGGGGCGGGCTGCGCGGGCGCGGGCGGTGGCGGGGCTGGCGCCGGGCGGGGCGGGCTGCGCGGGCTGGCTTTCCTGCCCGCGGCTGCGCCAGCGGCGTTGCTGTTGGCGATGTCGGTGGCGGTAGCGGTAGCGGCAGCGGCCGCTCCAGCTGGCGGGTACAGCTCCGCGGCCATCTTCGTGCGCAGGGCGTGGGGGGCGGCCTCCGAGTTCGGCGGTGTCGCGCCGCGCGTCCTCGCGCCGCGCCGGGGCCTGGGGGGCGGC